CCCCCCCCCCCACCGCTCACTGGCAAACGGGGGGGATGCAGTGGAGCAATGCAACTTTGCTTCCCCAGGTCCCAAGTTCATCACTTGGAGCAAGGCCGGGAAAGAGGTAGGGCTGGGGAGGAGAAGGGGTGGGGCCTGGGCTGGGGGAGGGAGGTGTTCCAGCTCTGCACAGGGTGAGCGGGTGGCGAGGGGGAGGAGTGAGTGGAGACCCTCACCAGTCCACTGAACCCTGATCTGGTCTGACCTCTTACATAAGCTAGGCCAGAGATTTTCACTCCATTGTCCCTGCACTGAGCTCCATACTTGCATTTGACTGCACATTTGATTTTAGGAACTATTACTAGCTTGTCTAAGTGAGTAGAAGTGATATGAATATGATGGGAACTATCTTTCTGTTTCTTGCCTTCTCTTTGGATCTTACTGCTCTGCTAACACGAAATGAACAGTGTATGGTGTGTGTGATGCATCTGCCTTTTCCACTCCCGTGTCTGAACTGCTGCTAGCAACTTGTCAGCAAAAAGGTACAGCAGCAGACTAAGTCACACACAACTGCCACTTACAGAAGATGCTAAAACAAAGGGGGATGTGGGTACTTACAATATAACCTGCATGCTGTGACTGGTGCAAAGCGACACAGTCTAGTATTAAAGCTAAAATTCAGATGACTCTTATAGAGGCCACCACCTACAGCTTTAAAATCTGTGAAAAACTTCTACAATGTTAAGTATCAGAGGAGTAGCCGTGTTAGTCTGAATCTGCAAAAGCAGTGAGGAGTCCTGTGGCACCTTATAGACTAACTGAAGTGTAGGAGCATAAGCTTGCGTGGGCAAAGACCCACGTCATGCATCTGACATGCATCTGACAAAGTGGGTCTTTGCCCATGAAAGCTTATGCTCCTACACTTCAGGTAGTCTATAAGGTGCCACAGGATTCCTCGCCACTTCTACAATGGTGTAAGCAGAAGAACTTCACACGTTGCTTTCAACAGTCGAAAACCACCAGATAATAGTCCAAAATTCTCCTGGAGCTGGGCTTTACT